GAAAGCTTTATGCTGCTTGTTGAAGAAAATTGAGAGTACCAACTTGATAGGTACATTAAATAGACAAGAGTATATTGAGAGTATCAACTTGATGGTTGCATTAAATTATTTACGATTTACCTTGTTGATGGTTCTCGGTGGTGTTAAAATTTTTAGGGTTTAGCTAACGTGCATTCTAACCATATGCTATAATTTTATGGAGTTCTTTCTATACTAGTAAACTACAAGTATGTCTTGCATATTCTTAGTGGTTGTGTAGCACTTTCTTAGTTCTTCTTGTTCATCAATAATATCTTACCTTGTCAAAAAGAAAAAAAAGTATGTCTTGCATATTCTGCCTTAGAGAATGGATTAAGGTAACAAATTTGATGGATGCCTTAAATCCTAAGTTGCTCGGACTCGGGTGCGAGCATCCGATACGGACACGGATCCGAGTGTCGGATTGGGCAAATATAAATTTTAAGATTCGAGGGTGCGAATCCAAGTATAGATACTGGTGCGGGAATTTGGATAAAAAAATTCAAAATTATAAAAAAATAGAGATATAAAGAGAAAAAGAAAGCCATTCAAGGCGTTCCACCAACTCTCCATCTATATCGTTGCTACTGTCTACCAGAAGTTCAAACTCAGAACACGACCCCTTGAATTCTTGATTTTTCTCAAACACAAAGCAGCATAATACGAGACAAAAGTACTACAATAATGAAGGTATGCCATTTCCCATGTCTTAAATCTATTTTATTTTTAATTTTTAGAAATCAAAATCTCAGGCCCCCTCCCCCCAAATTTGTCGATGGACTCAGCTTAAAGTATCCGAAGTTAGTTGACCGAATCCGGGACGTAGCCCGCACCAAAAATGAAGAGTCCGCGACTTAGCTTAAATCTTCCTCACTGATGGTATTAAATAGTTTTTAATTTTTGCTCCGAATCTGAGCTGGCACAAAAGTTAAAAGCTTCTGAAGTCTAGACCGACAAAGATAAATCATAACAGAAAACTGAGACCTGCAACATCCTTAATGAGAATTTCCCTGTCCTTAAAGGCCTCTATGGTTCCTGGTCTTCTCCATTACGGGAGCTTATTTCTTAAGTACAACATTAGTTAGTATACTCATATGAGTTAATATACTAATCAAAAACAATAAAACACTAGTTAATATACTCAAATGACATCAATAGAGCCTTCACATTTNCTCCCTCTTGATCAATGATCATACTCAACGCGCACTCAAGCTTGTGCTGTTAATAAAATAAATATATTAGGTAATACAATAAAAGAAATACTAGGTAATATGATCATATTCTACTAGTTGAAGTTGTGTTCCAATAGTGGCAGATCCAACATGGACTTGAATAAAATCTGCTTACATCTTGCTTTGTGGAAAGAACTTCTTGCAGAACCAGGAGTAATTAAGCAGCAGTCATCCCTGTGTTTAGATGGCTCTTTCCATTAATAAATCAAAGTTCCATTTGATCTTTGAATGAATTCCTGGTCAGTTGTGCATGCTGCTTGTAATTGCTGTTCCTTATGATGATGCTTGTTAATCCGAAAAAGTTATAATGTAATGATACATTAACATTTTGTTTATGTTGCAACCACAACTTCTTTTCTCGCATTGCATGACTTGTCTGAACATTGTTGAGACTCTACTCTGGATGCCCTTTAAGCTTCATTATTACTTAACTAATAGCGATATTTTAACATCTTTCGCGTCATCTCTCTAACCATTTAAAACATTTTTAACCAATTGGATTATTGCCAGTTTCGAAGTAAATGCATGGTTCTCTCTCCTTATTTTGCTATTAATATCTTTCTGCTGTGTTGAGGGTGTGTTAAAATGCGGGTGTACTTTACCCTACAGGCTTACCTGGATAGGCTATTCGGTGATCCCTTGCTTGGTAAATGGTGGATGTACCTTTTTGAAGGCACCAGCAATTTCACAAGTTTCTGAACTAATTTCTTCTGCAACTCATCTTGGTGCTGCTATTCCTTTTTCTGAAACTAAACTTTTTGGTTTCAAGACAAATTTTGCATAGACAACTTGAGACTTTTTATCTGTTTGGCACTTTCCATAGGCTAGTAGAATGGTTGATGTTAGAGATTCATGATCTGTTTCATGATATTACCATTTCGTGGTAATGAAACACACATGCCAAATTAGTGCAGGTTTCCAATTTTCCGGGGTTTTAGTTTTATTATGATACTTGTGAGATGGGAACCTGGAGCAGCACTTGAAAATTGTTCAGTGAGAAACAGGGTTAGCTTCGGAACTGTAGACACCCACTTTAGCTACTAAAGTGGCTAAAGTAACTTGGTACTTGGTGCATCTTCCATATTTGATGGTGAGACTTGTTCTTTTAGTACTTATGTGGACCTTTTCTCCAGAAATAGCATATCGAAGAAGAAGCTTGTCAACATATTATGATTTTTACTTGTCAGAAAAAAGATATTTATGTGTTTGGTCCAAGCCGATTAACTGATTGCTATTATTGTCTGTTATTGTGAATATTAATTGGATATTTTAGCTAATGTTTCTTTCTTTCACGGTTTCACCTAAAGAAAACTTCATCTGGCACAGTTGGGAATTTTAACATGAATCCTACCTTGTATCTTGTGTTCCTTTTGTTTTATCCAGGAGGCCTGGTGAAGAGGGTGATGCTGACTCATCAAGGGAGACCAGTAGTGGTGGAAGCAGTGACTGTGATGAGAGGCGGTCCAAATCCTCTTCCGATGGGCTGTGGAACCAGCACAGCCTTGTAAATCAAAATGCCCAGCAACTAAATAGACTATCATTGAGGGACAAGTCTGTCACGGGTTCATCGAGCGATGAAGCTGAAATTTCGAATTCTCTTGGGGTGCTCTTGTTCGAGTATTTGGAACAGGAGCAACCACATCATCGAAGACCATTGGCTGACAAGGTAACTCGTTTATTAGTGTTTGAAACGAATCACTTCTTTGTCCTAAATGCGTATTTTGTTCTGCATTCATATCTTCTTTTTCAGATAGCAGTTCTGGCATCTCAATTTCCAGTGCTGAAGAAGTGCAGGAGCTGTGATTTACTGCCTTCTAGTTGGATTTCTGTAGCTTGGTATGTTTACAACCCTGTAGAACTTAAGAGTAATTTGCAACATGATGAGGATATTTGAAGCTCTTATTTTGCATTTTAGTTTGTGACTGCTGCAGTGTGTTGTAGGTATCCAATATATAGAATACCCATGGGTCCCACGTTGCGGGATCTGGACGCTTCTTTCTTAACCTTTCATTCTTTGTCCACACAATCCAGAGGTATGTCCTCCGCCCTTTGTGTGCAAACAGACAGATTTATGTTTTTGTTGTATGCATGTGTGTTTCTACTTCCTAGTGCTTCTTCTGAAGTAATGTTTCTGTCATTTTCTTAGCTCTGAGTACAGTTCAGCCACGCTACCATGGTGCAACTGGCAGGAAAGTTCTTGGCAATGTAAATGCGTGCTCAAGAATTTCGTTACCAGTCTTTGGCCTTGCCACATACAAACTGAAAGGGTCAATCTTGAGTCCATGTGGACCTCATGAATCCGAGCAAGAAGATTCTCTATTGCAAGCTGCAGACAGTTGGCTTCGACGCTTGCAGGTTATCCTTCCCGATTACCAGTTTTTCCGTGTGCACTATTCTCCATGGAGATGATCCAGCTGTTGAAGCTCCTATTTTTTGCTGATAATGGGGAGAAATTTAGATTGTCAGTTTGGTTAAAAAGTTTTGAGATCTAAAACCCCAGCCTTTGACCAATCTTGGTCAAAGATCCATATCTCCATTAAGCCTTCCATTTTTGGGTGGAAGGTTTTTGTATTGGATTGAGGGAGAAAAAGATAGGCCGGGCGTGATAACTCTCAGTGAGTCTATTGGACGCTCACAGTGGAAAAGCTGCTGCGTTGTACTTTATGATTGTTTCCTGAAATGTGGCAGGACTCCTCATTACCCTGCCTTCTTTACTTTGCTGGGGTGGATAAAATATAATCTTCTGATATGGATAGGCCTGTTGTCTTTGTTGAGTCAGGAGCAGAAGTTCTTGACAAGTGATAGTGACGAAAGATTTGGAACCTGTATTTTCAGATTGCACATAAAAATTGATAGAAATACTTTGTTTTAGTTTGTCAAATTCATACAAGAAGTACGTTGTGTTCCTGAAATTGCAATCTCATGATTTCTTTCCTTATATTCTCTTTTTTTGCATGCTTAATAGTCTTAACAAGGGTGCATGGGAGGTGGTTTTTCTTTGCAAGAGAATCTGGCTCATGACAATGACACAAGTGAAGTGGGAACTGCAATGGATAATTGTGCTAGTATAGGTTATGGTATATCCACTTGTACTCGAGATTTAGGTATCAGTTTCTTCATTAACCATATAATATTTTGTGGATTGGGTTTGTAACAATGGTGAAGCTTCTAGGTGTAAGAAAACAATTTTCTTCATGACCTCGAAGATGGTTTTGAATTCGTAAAGACTTGTTCGTGTGATTATATGGCTTAGGGTTATACAACTACTTTTAAATGAACTTTTTCTTATAAATTCTACTCCCATCTCTCGGAAAACCATCGTTGGAAGCAGTAGAACAAACGAGAATGAGAAGCTAAGCAGTTTCATATTCAAGCTGCAAAAAGTAATGGAAGGGTGAGAAGGTAACCAAACTTATTTGTAGGATTCTCCCTGTTTATTTTTGTCGATTGAAGGTTGATGAGATCAGAACAATATCAGGCAAAGAAAACCTGGTGCCAAATTTCGTACTAATTCCAATATAAGTAACTGCCAACAACTTAGATCCATTGACTAAAATTTGGTAAAATGTTACAATATCATAACTCAGAGTTACTATAAATATTTATTCCAGTGAAAGAAAGTGTAATGTGTTAAAAGGTCATATTCACAAGATGTTTAGCATCGTTTGATATAGAAACCTGAAGACTTCATGGACTATTCAAATTGAATTGAAGTGATATTTTCAAAGTGCTCTTTCTATCATCACTAGTTCCTTTTTAATAGAAAAATCACAATAGCATTTTAAACTCCCTGTACAACAAAATAGTGTCAGAAGGTAGCAAAGCTTTAATGTCCAAAAGAAATAGTAAAGCTCGATCAAGGTAGTCAGTCTTTTGAAGACAAGAGAAAGGTATTCTTCGTCCGATTTCATTAATTAGTACCCCATTCTCCATGATAACCACCGGACTGGAGTCGTTTGCTGGATGTCACTATTTGAGTAGCCAATCCTAAATTAGTAGTCTTTGATAATCTACCTATTCCGTGATAACTTCCATGTCTTCCCCACATCCCAACATGTAGAACTCATGTCACATAATTCTCAAATGATATTCAAGTCATCGCTACATTATTCACTCTGCTTTTAGACTATATGAGGATAAAATAGCATGAAGCAAGGGACTATAATGTAAAGCTGCAGAAACTTGCACATGAACAATTCAAAGAATGACATCTAATTTCTTTTGCAAAATGTGACAATGACGTAAAAATGCTACTTCATAATTAGTCCTTTTGGATCTGACTATATGAATGAAAAATTTCTGTTTCCAGTCACGGATAGTCAAGTGCATGATGTAGTATAAGCTACATCAGCTAAGAGGGCAACAAAGAAAGAGAAATAGCACGCTGAAGTCACTTTAATTGAAAGAATTGTGTTAAAGCATGTTAACCGGACATATCTTTGCATAGGCAACCACAGCAGGGAGCAAGTCAACTACAAGGTGAACACTGCTTTAACTCCAACCAACAGCTTCTAGCTGCTAATAAATTAATCATCATATTTCGTGGAGCATCTTCAAAGAGCTTCTGTGCCAGTATCCAAATAATGGAAAAGAAGCATTTGATGTTCAGTCTCATAAATAGTCTTCCAGTATGGTGGAGAGCAATAGTCCTTTCACAAATTCAGATCTCTGGAACTTCTCTTCCTGATCCTTGTCCATTGAAGGAAACGGTTGGGACCTTCTTTGACAAGGATTTGATTAAAATGAAAAGAGTCAACTTTTACCATCCAGCCAAATGTAAGTTAGGAGGTAGCAAGAAATCAAAAGGATAATACGTGCTTTCCTAGAATAACATTTAGCAAGCATTCAGGAAAAGGATACATCTAAAGTTCTCTACACAACTCAAGTTCCAAATTCAGTGCCATGGACACTTAGACCAAGCGAATATGTTATGTAGTTCACTTACAATGTGAATTTCCTGCTATGTTCATTTCAAAACAATCATTTTTTGCCACCTACGCTTGAGTTACTCATGAAACAAACAGTGAACTTGCTAATTGAAGGAAGACAACATCAGCAAAATAACCAGCTTCTATGTCACTCAAGGTTTGGCTCAGGAAAATGTTATTGTAGGGCTAAATGAAATATCGTTCAAAATGACTAGATAAATTAGAAAAGGGAAGGCATTTGAAGGGAAAGGACAAAGTGAAGAAGGATGATGAAGATCAAGAAAGATATTGTTACATATATAGTAGGAGAAAAGAAGGAGAAAACCGTTGGATGAAAGCATCAGGCATCAGAATTAACCTTGGAATGCTCCTGGTGCTAATCAGATTGAAGGGGATAAAAATAAATGGTGATACAGTGTCTTCCTGACAATTTTTTGAGAAGAATGCATAAATGACCATTTTTTATTGCCCTACTGTTCACCTGTGATAACAAAGTAATAAAATTTGGGAGAAATGACCCCCCAAAAACAAATGGTTCCATGAGTTCTCGTAGTTGGCTTGATTTTAGAAGCCTTCTGAGTGAAGCTTTTTTAACTTTTAGCAAATGGAACTACAGCATTTTCCTTAGCAAGGGAATAACAAAATCCAAAAACTTGGCAATCATGCATTGATGTTCCTATTATATTCCCTACAAATTGTTAAACTAGGTTTTCTCTCACAATTTCAGATATATGTAAAGCACTACATATCCAGCATAGGCAAAATTTCTAAGGACACCTCAGTTCTCGAATTAAGCTAACTTGCTGCCAACGTCACTTCTTGCATAATCCAGAGATGTGATGCATACAAGTATAATCAGCAGCAATCAAAAGCAAATTCAAGCAACAACGCTCTATGCACATCATCGTTTCCATGAACGATCACATTAAATGAAATTTAACCGAGCAAAAGTATGAGGAACTTATCATTGCTAGATGAACCAAAACTATAACTAGTTAGCTATCTATCGAGCTTGTGTGGTTCGGTTGTCTCCAGTGATCAAATCAAGTCTGGTTCTAAGTTCGAATTAAGTTACAAGCTGTTGTTCTCCAATTAGTTTGCAATGACAATAATTGATAAAGGACAAGCTTCTAACAAATGGAAGATATTGAGTGTGCCTACTCCTATATATCCAGCTTTCTCTTGTCCACTAATTTGTCCTTTTTCATCATCGTGATCAGTGCCATTTGATGTTGGCAGATGATGAGAGATAACACATAGAACCATGACCAAACTGTTGAAATTAAATCATAATAACCTTCTTACCTTTCACTAACATGGTCATCTAGGCTGTTTACAGATGAACTTGCTTCAGCTGAAGTGCAGGATTGTCTTGTATGAAGTCTTTTGGAAGGCTGCTGATTGCCGACAAATGATAACAGTAACTGGTTGGTTGCCATATTAGAGGAAGGAGTGACATGGCTGGACTTCTTTTCCAAATAAGCACTCAGCAACTCTTTCCTCAGTAAGGATAAGGCTGAGAAAGATCCACCATTTTGAAGTTTCTTTTTGCTGAGAGCTTAAGGTTTGTTAAGGTAAATCAACTTATAGCTCCACATGCTCATATGATAAACAAAATATAACATTTCTCCTAAAATAATGATTGATGCAGAATCATGCTCAAGGAAATAACTCAGATAAACCAATAAACATGAAAGTTGGCAAGGTTTTTCTTTTCTTTTTCGGATAAGGGAAAGAGGGCAAAGTTAATAACATTTGGAAGCAGCAACACTACCTAAGTGTCACTTTATTAATAATATTTAATTATAAAAAGGAAGGCATCTGCCACTATCTTTCATTAAGCATAATGATTGATGAAGATGTTAGAAGTTATGAATTAGACAACACACAGAGGAAAATTGAGAAGCTACTGCATTCCAGTTCACTATATAAACAAATATCAAGCTCACTAATCCAGACTCACTCAATGCAGAAATTTCTATATTGTCTTCCCAATTGACTATAAAGAACAACTATGAAACTTGATTCGCTATTCTCTTACAATCAGCTATGAAAAGTCAATAACTCCTACACTTAACCTGACCATGTAAAGCTGATAAATTGAAATAAAGTGAAGGATATTTTTAGTATACTTTCATGTTGCACGATGACATGTGTAGCCATATTCATTCGCACCTGGACAGCACATAGAGGACATATCTGGAGATAAAGAAATACAGATCATAAGAAATTCAGACTTCAAAAGACTAAGGCTGAAAACACAATGGCCATAAGATAATTTCACACAACACTGAAGTACTACTGTTCGTTATAAGCAAACATATCTCAGATTGAGACAGTGTGCAAATACGCCAAACCAATTGAATGTATTTGTATCAAATTCCTAGGATTACAAAACTCAGGCACGAACTGCAATAATTGAAAAGTTGCAGTTAGTTTCGTCCTAATAGGAATCATCAAATAGAGAAAAAGGTACTTTTTGGAGGTTCCAGCTCAGTGTAAATCAAATAAAACCACCTTTCTCCCAACCCTCTCATTTGCTCGAAAAGTGGATAGTTCCGTGCTTCTTGGTCATATTGAAGGAACATTTTATTTATTTAGGTTTGCACCACATTCTCTCACATGCATCTGGCTTCTTTTCTCACGAGTACATGGAAATATTTTTTTTTTAATAATAGGTAGGTGATACTCAAACTCTACCTGATACAACCAATTAATCTAAAAGTTCGAGACATTCAAGAAAGCAAGCTGCCCTAACAATTACCACTCTACCATAGACTTTGCGTCTTCACAATCAACACGTAATGACCTTTAAGAAAGTTTCCACCAATGGCAGATGTGAACAACAGCCTCAATCCAACAGGTGACTATCCTTATCCTAATTTAAACCCTTCAAGAGCAAACTCTCTTCTAAAAATTATTAAAGAGAAGACAAAACCAAAATTCAAAATACTTCCAACATGAAAATGAAAGAAAATATAGGTATTGTTTACCCCGGTCTTTGCCTCCATGCGATGCTCGCTGTCAATGTGGCAGCACAATCCAAGCATATCGAAGTCTTCTGAACAAAATGGACATGCCAATTCTGTTTTCACATTTTCATTGTTAACATCTTCATCATCACCCTCCTCCTCCTCTTCTTCTTCTTCTTCCTCCTCCTCCTCCTCCTCTTCAATATCCACACAACCATCTATTTCAAGATTCAACATGATTATGCCCAAAGAACATATAGTCCGCAAATACACAAATAAACACGCACACACAAAAGCAATACATATTGTTCCCCTATGTCCCAAAAGATTTGGCATTTCTTTATTTCCAAGAATCAAAGTAAGTGGATTTTGACCAAAAACAACAACTACAACATAACTGGGGTCTAGGAGGGTAGTATGTACACAGACCTTACCCCTACCCGGAGGAGTAGGGCTATTTCCGATAGACCTTCGGCTCAAGAAGACTAAGTGGAATTTAAAAATGTAATTTTTCATGTATGAGAAGAATTGAAACAACTAAAGTGATTCGTCCCACAGTTTCCAAGTATTTAAATTTAATTTTTAAAGAACAAATTAATCTAGTTCGATTTAGCCCCTAAACTTAGTCGGATAATAAAAATTACCAAATAAACAGAGACGGTTGAGAAAACAGTACCCTTTAAAGCAGAGAGCAGAATTTCCCAATCGTCATCATGATCATCCATTGAGAGTTTGCCTGTAGAAGAAAGCCTAATTCCTATAAATAGAAAATACCCAGGAAATATAAATACATAAAGATTCTATTTATGTATACACAAAGCTTAAAGGGTTTTAGGGCACTTTTGAGTAGGAATTTTTGGTGGTGTGTGATATGTGAGAAAAGACTATCGAGACCAGAAGAAGAAGAAGAAGAGCGTCTGCCTCTGGTAGAATGCTGAACGAGAGGAAATGGGTAATTAATTGGGTCGGGTACGAATCGGGTACCGAAATACCCGTGGACTCCCGCGTTTTCTGGTCAACTCACGAATCAGTCGCAGCAGCTAAATAATAGAACCAGCCTAACGATTTGTTTATTTATATTCTTTTGTGTATATAGTAGTTAGAACGAAATCTACCGCTATGTCCATTTATAGGTAGCTCATTATAAAAATTGGTCAATTTATAAAATATTACTAATATTAGCCAAATAGTTATTTGTAGCAAAAAAAGGTCAAATTTTTGCTTTCTTTTGAGTGAGTATTATTAGAATAGGTTGGGTTCATCTTAAGGAGCTTGAATCTCAAAACCTCAGTTTTGAGATGATTTGGTGAAGTTTTGAGGTGGTTGGAATTGAAAATTCGAAGTAAAAACTATACTTGAAAAAAAAGACATGTGTATCACATTGTGAATGATTTGTGTATCACATATGTATCATATTTGTATCAATTGTGTTTCACATGTATATCCATGTGTGTGAGATACATGCGTGATACATGTGTCGCAGAAGAATTTTTTGTACTCGATTTAATTATGAATTTTGATACAAAACCAGTCCAAATCAACTCCAATCTTCCTCAAATTTTGTATATTGACTTATCTATATGTTTTCAATGAATTTCAACTATACCCATTGAAAAAGTTTCTTTTTTGCTTAGATTTTTGAAATATTGAACTTTTTTTTTTGTATTTCATCATCTTATTTGCTATCTCATTCATGAAATTTCCTTTCCGTCCTGCATCTAATGTTGCTATCACGCTTAAAAATATCGAAGATGATTTTTGCATGTGATTTTTTGAGAGAAAGAAATTTATTTATTTAGTTTTTCAATTTTAATATGTACTTGGCTAGTTTTGGTAAGTCTATGACTAATGACTAGATGTTGGTAAATTGAGATTTATTTGAGACATTTGTCTAAAATTCCCTAGTTACAATCTGTCTAATTTTTGACATTTTAAAATATTTGGCACAATTTTATTTCTGAAACTTTTCTAACTTTGAATAGTCTTAATTGATCAAACTATTCACTCTTTAACATTGACGTGACATTTTTTTCTCTTTTAATCACTATATTTATTATCGTCCATCATCATTAATACATTGAGTTCTATTTTCTTAAACTCATTACCAATAATCAAGTCAAACACCTGTCACAAAATGTAATGGAAGATATAATTGATTACTTCGGTATCTATTTCAGAGTTAGCAATCGAATTTATTTATGTACTAGTTAATTTTTTCACGCTTCTCGCGGTTATTAGAAACAATAGTAAATGTATGTAGTATATAATTATTATTTTTCTTCTAAATTTAGTTGAGATAAAAGAGAAAATCTTATTTATATGCATACAAAATTTAATCCTATGAATTGATTATATTACTAATATAAATTATTTTCAATTACAAACCAAGTGCCCAATTGCCATACTTCAAGTCCTATACATGTTACAACTTACAAGATAGGGGCATCCAAATGTTCCAACACATCACTTCAATAAATGCTTTAAATACTTTAAACGACTGATAAAATACGATTGATGATTTGCAACGCATAAAATAAAACAAAATCCTTCTTTTTCTTCCTAATTTGGTGACATATATCTCTTTTTCTCTAAATAAATATAAGTGAGACGAAAATTGCATTGACTTAAATGATGTTTAATGTTGCCGTAAGTATTATAGAATATTGTACGTGAGTGTATGTTCTAAACCTCCAGAATCTATCAAATAGATCATGAAAATATATGCTTGAGAACCTGCAAAGAGAAAATTAAAATAAATAGTAAATGATATACTTGTAAATAAAAAGGAAAATGGAAAAAGCTCAGACTTAGTAGTTTAAAATTATACTATTCACATAATCATTAGACATCTTTAACTATCTTGAGTTATAATAATAACTTCCCCAATTTTTATAAATATAGATTTTTGTAAAATAAGTTACTTGATTTTTAATTTTTGTTCTTTACTTTATACCAATACAGAAATTAAAGAAGAGGAAAAAATGCGATCAAAAGTGATTCGCAATTCGAATTTTCTGCAGTTGTTTTTCTTTCCGTTCTCATTTCTTTCTTCCTTTTATTTTTTTCTTTAACTTTTTACTGTTCTCTTTCTTTTCCTTTTTAATTTCTCGCACCCTCAAATTTGCCCGCCAAAATAACTACTTAAACAATTTTTTTTTAACGCAGTTTTTCTTTCAAATTTTTTATAGTTTTGATTATTTCCCCAAATAAATATTTCTACTGTATGAACATCTTATCACCCTCTCTTATCAGTTTAGCACATAGGGGAGTCACAGAGGATACCATTGAAGGCGATAAGATCATAGAGATAAGAGCAGTTGTATAAAAAAATTGAAATAATTTTCTGAGAACTCAGATGAATATTGATCACCATATTATCTTGCGTTGAGTTAAAAAGAAAGTAAAAAAAATAAATAAAAATTAAGGAAAGCTTTAAAGATGAAAACGAAGAAAGGAAAATAAAATTACAGAGAGATTATCACAAACGTATAGAATACCTTGGGGAAGAGTTCGTTCGTAAGCGGAAAGTTGACATCGCGAAGTTCGAATACTGGAAATTTCTGTGTTCTAGCAAAATCGACAATTTCACAAAACAATTCATATGTCCTTATATAAGAATCAACTTATTTAGGGGATAAAGCTTTAGTTTCTAATCTAGGAAGTTAGTTGATTGAAATGAAGAGGAAATTCAATTGTAATATCAATTTTATAGTCTCCAATTTATCTAGTGATAGGCTTTTCAAATTCTGATGTGTTTTAATTAATTCTGGTTAGTCATTATAGGTCTTGATGATGAGTAACGGAAACATTACTTTGGTTCATAAAAGCTGGCAGAACGTAGGCTATTCCAAGAGAAGTAAAGAAGTGTCGTTTGAGTTTTTGCACTTAAAACTAAATAAATGAAAAAAAATAAGGAGAAAGCAAAAAAACCCAGGGAAAAGATAAATAGGAATTCTGGTATTTGGGATGTGTCACATCAGCTTTCTGATTAACTTATATATATATACTAGTAAATTCACTCACGCGTCGCGCGATCTTAAAAGATAAATAAATTATAAGAAAATAATAGTAATGTCTTAAATTTTATAGAAGAAAAATCAGTCTTTACTAAGAAAATATACTTTCCGATTCTACTATGTGTTATAAGTATTACAATTAATGTAAATGACCTGTTATTAATTGGTTAACAGATATTAACAGAGAAAAATCTTCTATAATGTTAATCCTTAACCTTTATTCTCTAAGCACTTGAAAGTAAAGGAATTAATTAATTATACTGTTATATCAACGCCTTGAATTGTTAATGCTCTTGTCATTGTATTTTAGATCTGAGTATGTATTGATTAGAGCAAGTATGTGTGTCGATTTGACTATTCAATCATAGATGTCTTATGTTTACACAATTATGCGTTAAGTGAAACTTTATATCAAAGTAAGAACTTAAGTAATGAAGAGCAAAGAATATTTTTACGATTCTGCAAAAAAAACAAAAAAAAAAAAACAAAACGTCCATATTACCGTTCAAAAGCAATGTTGCTATTGCCTTTCAAACACTAACCAATACAAGCATCTACGAAATATATAAGACCATTAAACTATTGAAAATTGATGTTTTCTTAATCATTATACTCTTTCTTTTTTACAAAGAAATACTTGCTAAATGTCAGAGAAATATACTCCATCCATTCTATTTTACGTGAACTTTTTTTTTTTTAATCTGTTAAGAAAATGAAACTTTTGTTTATAGTCTAGTCAAAAACTATGTTACTTTAAATTTCCTATTTATCCTTTTATAGCTATAAGAAAAAATATTTTTTCGGTATAAATATCTGGCATCCAAAATTTCTCGCGCGGAATATTTTGATACATACCTTGAAGGGGGAATCAGATTTCTCTAGAAAAATCATTGCATATTATTTAAGATCCATGATTGTAAAAAAAAATATTTTCTCGCTTAACTAATCTCAACTAAACAGGTTTAATTATATGAAAAGAAAGTTAAAAGGAGTACATATTATGCAACGCAAATATTATACATCACACTTTAAAAAAAAAATTCTTAAACACTATGCTTAAACTGATTCATATAAAACAAAACCGAGGGAGTACATATTATACAACATAATGATGTACATAACGTTGGAAAACAACATATTAACATGTCTGTATCAATTATGTCAAGGAAAATACTACTTTGAGAAATTGTACAAACTTACAAAAGGTAGGAGGATAACAACTATGATTTGTCTTCTTGTAATAAAAAGTAGTAAAAGTGAAACAGGAAGAAGCAAATAAAAAGATTAAGACAAACCTTACAACGAAAATGAAAAATTTCCCAAACGCTGTAATTTCAATCTTCTCAACTGCTGCCTCTGCAGGAGCATCTCTTGAGTTCAGCAACAACCATAAAATCAGTCAATCTCTAAGCCTAACACCACATTCTCCACAAAAAAAAAAAGAAAAAAAAGTAAGCGTGTCTATTATTGGACTACATGATAAAAATCATGAACAGAGAAACACCACAACAAGGAATAAGATCAATACTTAAAGCGTTTAAAGCAAAATGTTATCGAACAACAATTAATATATCTAAGATATCTAGTATTGACACTCCAATCATTCTCCAACATATACAAATTGACCCTGTTGATAGAAGAGTTACCTACTGCAAATGCATATTCTTCACTAACTAAAATCTCACTTCAATCAATCTCGCATGAAATTCTCTATTGTTTCTGGGAATGTTGATTGTATGTGCACTTGTTTGTAGGAAAGAAGATAAGTAAAAGAGAAGCTGTTAAGAAAATTAATGGGAAGAAGAGGAAGAGACGTTCTTTTCAATCAATCCCGATTGGAATTCCCCCATTATTTTTGGGAATGTTCATTCTACTGTATTTGTTTGTAGGAAAGAAGATAAATAAAGAGCAATAATTAAGAAAATTAATGATAAGAAGAGGAAGAGACGTTTTTTCTCGCTTTTTTTTTTTTTAGGAAAATGCAAACGGTTATATTGTTTAAGTTTTTA